GCCGGACCCGGATCCCGGAACCGCCGCGCCGCCCCGCCCCCGGCCCGCCCCACCTGCGCGCCGCCCCCTTCCCGCCCCGCCGCCGGCCGGCCGCAGCTCGGCCCCCGCATCTGGCCCGGGGGCCCCGCCCGGCTGGGTCCCCACGTGGGCTGGCGGGGACCGGCACCTTCCTTCTTGGGCGTGGTGCGTCAAGTGGTCAGTACGTGTGGGCTGAGTGCACCCCACCATGATCTCATCCGATCTTTACACAGTCCGGTGAAAGAATCGTCAACTCCATTTTACAGATGGGGAGACTGAGGTGCAATGCGCTTGACAGACACCAGGCGGCCCACTCTGCCGTACCGTTTGGAGCTCTTGAGTAGCAAACCTTCGCCAGGCTCCCTATTTGTCCCTAGCTGTGTTTTTTATTCCCCACCTTAGAGACGCCCCCAAGAAACTGACCAAAGGAATGAAATATCCTTTCATACACACACACACACAGAATGTAATCACACACCCCAGGCTACCCATTCGTGTTTAATACCCCTGGCCTTGGCTAGAGGATTCCTTTGGGGGGATTGAAGGAATGAAGGAGCAGTTTGAAGGGTGCTGGAGATAATTAACAGAGCCAAGACTAGAATGAGGGGTGAGGCTCTCATCTAGGGGCAAAATACAAGGAGAGAGAAAAACAAAACTCAGTGGTCAGGATAAACTCTGTGACTCCTATCTCCATCCACTGGGAGAGGAGGGAGGCAAGGCTTCATCACTGCAGGCCTTCCTGCATGCTGTTCCCTCTGCTTAAAATGCCCTTCTCCATTCCGCAAACCTTTATGCATCCCTCAACACCCTGCCAGAAAGTCACCTCCTCTGAAGCTTTTAGCAACTCCTCAGCCTTTTAGCAAATGTATTTCAAGATTGCATCATTCCTTTGTGTATTAGTCAGAGTTCCACCAGAGAAACAAAACCAGGGAGAGATTTAGTAAGAGATGTATTACAAAGAATTGGCTAACAATGAATTGTGGGGGCTAGTTTGGTGAGTCTGAAACCCACAGGGCAGGCCACCAGGAAGGGCAAGCTGGAACTCCTTGGCACCAGCTGAAGCTGCAGTCCGCAAGCAGAGTTTTTCATTGTTCGGGCAGTTTTGCTCTTCAGGAGTTTCTACTGATTGAATCAAGCCCACCCTGACATTCTCCTTTACTTAAAGTGGACTGATTATAGATATTAATCACATCTACAAAATACTTTCACAGAAGCACTAAGCTTGGTGTCTGATGGAGTAAGGGGATTATAGCCTAGCCAAGTTGACACATCAAACTGACCATTTCTATTAGTTTCCCAGGGCTGCCATAGGAATGTGCCACAAACTGGACTCCTTCAAACAACAGAAATGTGTTCTCCCACAGTGTTGGAGTCTGGAAGTTGGATGGATGTTAAGGCGTAGCAGGGCCACCACCCTCCGGCGGCTCTAGAGGCTCCATACCGTTCTCTTAGCTTCTGCTGTTGCTGGCAATCCTTGGTATTCCTTGGCTTGCAGGTGCACCCTCCAGTCTCTGCCTCCGTGATTAAATGACTTTCTCCAGGTGTGTGTCTGTCTCTGTGTCTCTTCTATTCTTCTAAGGACAACAGTCATATTAGATTACAGCCCACTCTAAAGACCTTGTTTTAACTTGATTACATCTGTAAAGACCCTATTTCCCAGTAAGTTCACATTCGCAGGTGGCAGGGGTCAGGACTTCAATATATCTTTTGCAGGGATGTAATTCAATCCATATCATCATCACACTTTCTTGTGGCAGCTGATACATTGAACTGTGTTTAATTTGTACTCTTGGCTGGGTGTGTTGACTCAAGCCTATAATCCCATCACTTTGGGAGGCCAAGACAGGAGGATTGCTTGAGCCCAGGAGCTTGAGACCAGTCTGGGCAACATAGCGAGATTTTGTCTCTACAAAAAATTTAAAAATTAGCCAGGCGTGGTGGCATGTGCTGTAGTCACAGCTACTTGGGAGGCTGAGGCAGAAGGATCGCCTGAGCCCAGGAGGTCAAGGCTGCAGTGAGCCATGATGGTGCCCCTGCACTCCAGCCTGGATGACAGAGTGAGACCTTGACACCCCCCCCAAAAAAAGTACACTCTGGCCTTATAACAACAACAGCAAAAATAAAAAAACAAGGGACTTAGAGTCCAAAAAAACAAACAAACAAGGAACCTAATGACTCCAGAGCTTGGTATAGCATCAAATACCCAGTAAGTACTCACTTAGGGTCTGACTCCTCATCTCACACTCAACTTCTTAAGTATCTGGTTGAACTCATGGGGGAGGTATCTGATGAAGGGCACAGGCTGGTTAAGTGTAGGGAGAGGCTACTCCCAAAACATAACAAGCATGAATTCCTAGGGACTTGTTGCTGGAAGGGCCTCAGTGGTAATCTAATCTGGGAATTTTCAAAATCTACTCGCAAGAACCCTAGCAAACTATCCAGAAAAGCAAAAAGGAGGTAACTAGTTAGGGCTCCAACTGTCCCTGATACCAGAACAGGGACATGCTTAGCTGTTTAATACCTTGAGCTTCTCTATTATACTACAGCACCTTCCTCCCTATACTAGAAGAACTGGGAAAAAGGCCAAAGGAAGTGAGTTGTCCAGAGCCACAGCTCATCAGTGGCAGAACAGGAAATAGAAAGGAGTGAGAAGGTGTGGCAGAAACTGCTGGATGTCTGCCAATGTCCATCCTCCTCTTCTTAACAGATGAACTCTTGAATTTTTTTGTTTTTCTGGACAGAAAGAAGACTAGATTTCCCAGCTTCCCTTGCAGCTGGGCATGGCCATTCTGCAAGTGGCTATGTCAGATGGGACTCTTTCTTTCTTTTCTTTTCTGTTTTTTTGGTTTTTTTTTTTTTTGAGTTGAGGTCTCTGTTGCCCAGACTGGAGTGCAGTGGCATGACTCACTGCAGCCTTGAACTCTTGGTCTCAGGCAGTCCTTCCACCTCAGCCTCCCGTGTAGCTAGGACTATAGGCACACACCACCACGCCTGACTAACTTTTATTTTATTTTATTTTGTAGAGACAAGGTCTCGCTATGTTGTCCAGACTGATCTTGAACCCCTGAGCTCAAGCAATTCTCCTGCCTCACCCTCCCAAAGTGCTGGGATTATAGGCATGAACCACTATGCCCAGACCAGGTGGGATTCTTTAAGGTCATTAGTCTTCCTTCTTCCTATTGGCTGGATTATAGGTGTGAAGACTGGTGCTCAAGAAACTACCCTGGGTTATAAGGTGAAAGTTAGTTTATTTATCTTTGATATTTTATTTTAAAGATGTGGGGTGCAATTCGGGATTAGGTATACAAGTGGACATCGTACAGGTAAAGTTTGGGCCTCCCTTTGGTCCCCACTTTGCCTGCTTTGAGACTGATATTGTGCCCCCCACCCCCAACCCAGCAATATCCTGCTACTGCCAATCCCTTTCTTATAGTATTATGGGTAAATGTTCAGGGTCTACTTATGAGTGAGAACATGTGGTATTCTGTTCTTTGTTTCTGTGATAAATCACTGAGTATTATTGACTCTAAACCCATCCAAGTTGCTGCAAAGTCCATATACCTGTCCTTCTTTATGGCTGTGTAATATTCCTTTGTGTATATGTACCACATTTTTTTATCCAGTCCAGTTTTGATGGGCAGCATGGTTGGTTCCATGTTTTTGCTATTGTGAAGACTGCTGCAATAAACAGGCATGTGCAGGTATTTTTGTAGAATGCTTTGAGTTCCTGTACGTATATTCTCAGTAGGGGGATTGCTGGGTCATATGGAAGGACAATTTCTAGTTCTTTCAGAAATCGCTACACTGTTTTCCATAGAGGTTGAACTAGTTTGCATTCCCATCAGCACTGTAAAAGTGTTCCCTTTTCTCCGAATCCTTGCCAGCATTCGTTGTTGTTTGTTTTATTAATGATGGCCATTCTTACTAGGGCTAGGTGGTATCTCAATATGGTTTTGACTTGCATTTCTCTGATGATGTGTGAGGTTGAGCACTTTTTCATGTCTGTTGACTGCCCATATATCTTCTTTTGAGAAGTGTCTATTGATGTCCTTTGTCCACTTTTTAATGGGGCTGTTTGTTTTTTCCTTTTGGCATGTTTGAGTTCCTTATAGATCCTGGATGTTAGGTCTTTGTCAGATATATAGGTGGCAAATATTTTTTCCCATTCTGTAGGCTGTCTCCTTGCTCTCTTGATGGTTTATTTTGCTTTGCAGAAGCTTTTCAATTTAATGAGGTCCCACTTGTCTATTTTTTATGGCATGGACACCTGGGGTTTTAATCAGAATTGGTTGCCTACTCCAATATCTATAAGGATATCTGCTGCATTTTCTAAAATTCTTATAGTTTGAGGTCTTATGTTTAGGTTTTTGATCCATTTAGAGTTGACTTTTGTGTATGGTGACAGGTAGGGGTCCTGTTTCAATCTTCTGCATGTGTTCAGCCAGTTTTCCCAGCACCATTTACTGAATATGTTCTCCTCTCCCCAGTGGTTGTTGGTGGAGACTTTGTCAAAGATGAGTTGGTTGAGAAATTGAGGTTTTACTTCCAGAATCTCTGTCCTGTTCCGTTGGTCCACATGCCTGTTCTTATACCAATACCAGCTGTTTTGATTATTGTGGCCTTATAGTAAAGTTTAAAGGAGATGAAAGTTATTAACTGAGAATGTGAA